TATATATATATATATATATATATATATATATATATATATAATTAGCTCGTACTGTTCACACATAAACAAATGGCGGTTCTGGTCTGCGCCAGAAGTCGTGCCCATAATTCACTCCAAGCAGCATGGGGGTAGGAATAAGGTGGATAAGTTGATGCTAATGGATTACTTTTCCAGAGAAGAAATCCTCCATCTTGATTTCATTCTGCTTCTTTCTGCAGGTTTTTGTCTCGAACAACAAACACACATCCTCTCAAGACGTCGACGGCTTCTTTAACTTCGCCGACATGCAGATGGGCTTATAAATGTTTCTGAATGCCTGAACTGATTCAGCTCAGTCTGAATTCGTCTTCTCATGATTTGGCCCTTTCCAGAACACATTCAAAGATGTAAGAAGATGATGATGCTTTAATCAAACAACTTTTGAACAGTCTGTGCACACAGACCCATTCTTCAGAAAGAAAAGGCTGTAAACCACTCAAACATTAGTTGCAAAAAGTGCTGTGAATATTTATGTTTATATCCAACATTTTTCAGTCAGGTCATCTGGACAGTTTCTTTTTTTTTTTTTGTGCTGAAACGTTTCGCCTTCCATCCAGAAGGCTTCATCAGTCAAGGAAACACTCATCAAAACTGATTCTTCCCCCAACAGCTTACTCCAAAGTGGAACAAACCAGTTCTGCTTGTGGTAAGATGGTCTCTTTGGTACGCCCCTCCTCCATTGCCGGCCTCTTCCTTGTTGACAGTCTTGACAGACCTGACTGAAAAAAGTTGGCTTGTATACGTGGATTATTGAGCATGGACTTTGTTGTTATAGTTTAGTTGCTTTTAGCCTTTATAAATGTAGCCCTTTGTTGTAAATGTATTTTGCTTAAAGCTAGCTTTTCTTTATTGTCTGAGACAGTAGAAGCAGTGAAATGTGAGCACAAGAGGGAAACGTCTTGTGTTTAAACACGTATCTGTGGGATATCGATTAGACTTTTGTTTGAAATGGTCAATATGGAACATGCTGTATAATGAATGACTAGTTGCACTTTTTACATTTATTAGTCCCAAATCATGGAGTGAAACGACGAGTGTCTCTAAGAGAGTTATCTCTATCAAACTGTGTAAACCTGTGGAACATACTGTAGCTGGATTTTTAATGAAAGCAACACTTATTTTTGTTTATTTTGTAATAGGTGTTTTATACTTTACTGAATGTCTTTGTATAGAAACAAACGTCCACCCATGATTAGTTTGTAAATGAGTTAAATGTTGTACTCTTGAGACCAGCAGCTGTCAAATGTGAGCCAGCAGCAGTTTCTGATGTCGTCTTAGTAAAAGCACATGTCCTGTGGAGGTGGAGTTGTTTCTCTGATCACGTCCTGCCACGCCGCGCAACCGTGACGCTGACATTTACAGAAACTAATGTCCGTTTGAAGAACACTCTCCGTCCTCTTCGCAAGTTGGATTGTTCTTCGTGTCTGAACCGTCTGTGTTGGTGTCCGTGATTTGATCACATCCAAACTAATAGCACTTTCTAAGATCCATCATCCATCCATCTATCTCCGATATATAATATAATATAATATAATATAATATATGTGTATACTCTTGTCCGGCGATCTTATAATTGCGTGACTGCTCAGAAGTCATTTAGTGCTGAAATCCATTTATCTCTGTACATTTTTCGGCACATAATGCCGCCCACAGTTTGTGTTTTTTCAACAATTCATACATGAAAACGTTCGGCTCATTCAGGACATTTCTGCTGTGACTTGTAGAGTTTGTGCAGTTTGTACTTTTTGAAATATTTGGCTTTTTTGGCCATTTTTCTTCTCATTGAAAATGAATGGAGCTCCCTCCACATCCTTCAAACCCTTTGTGCTATTTACAACCTTTTTGTGCTTCTTTCTACAAATTTCAGCTACTTTTTAACTAGTTTTCTGCTAATTTTGAGCCTTTTTCTGTGTTTTTTTTCCCCCTGCTACTTTGTAACTAATGCAGTCTTTTTTCAGCTTTTTTCCAACTGTTTTCTGCAAATTTTGGTATTTTTCATCTACTTTTTAGCTAGTTTTCTGCCCATTTGTGTTTTTTCTGCTACTGTGTAATGAATTTAGTCTTTTTTATGCTCATTTCAACATCCTTCTAAGCTTTTGTGGGTTTTTTTCCAGCTACTTTTCTTCTAAATTCAGTAGTTCTGGCTGTTAGCAGCTATTTTGTGCTCTTTTAGCTTCTTTCTTTTAAAAATTAAGCTTGTTTTTTCTACTTATAACTTCTTTCCAATAATTCTTGTTCTTTTTTTTAGAACTTAAAGTTTTATTGATTTTTTTTACAGAGCAATTACATAGTCATACACCAGCAGTAATACCATACCATACCATACCATAGCAATTTATTTATATAGCACTTAAAACAGCAACAAGGCCAACCAAAGTGCTGTACAAAAGAACCAAACATGCACAGCAGACAGGAAAACATAAAATAGAAATACAGATACAAATAGCAGCAGAAGCTAACTAAAATGGCCAACAGAGTAGAGAACAGACCGGACCAAAACAAATCACACCGTGTTAAAGGCAAGAGAATAGAAGTGGGTCTTCAAGCGAGACTTAAAGACTGAGAGTGTGGGAGCCTGCCGGACACTCAGTGGCAACTCATTCCACAGTCGTGGACCTGCAACAGAGAAAGCCCTGTCACCTCTGAGCTTACGACGGGTTTCTGGGACTGAGAGAAGCATCTGGTCTGCTGACCTCAGAGAGCGCGGTGGGACATATGGCTGCAGAAGATCAGTGAGATAGGATGGGGCGGAACTGTTCAGTGATTTAAAAACATACATGAGAATTTTGAAATGGATCCGAAGGTGAATGGGTAGCCAGTGCAGGGAGGCCAAAACTGGCGTGATGTGCTCTCTATAGCCTGTACCAGTTAAAAATCGGGCTGCAGCATTTTGGACCAGTTGTAGACGAGCAATGGAGGACTGACTGATTCCAAACAGAAGTGAATTGCAGTAATCAAGCCTAGATGTTATGAAGGCGTGGATCACTGTCTCAAGGTTCTTTTTGGAGAGTAATCAACATAAGTGTTGACAGTGTGAATTTTCTGTAGAGTTAAAATCTCAGCATAACATTTTACAATTTCAGCATCACATTTGTAGTTTTATAATCATCATACAATCAAAAAATCCACTTTGGATGGCAGAGCCGGCCCATCCACCCTCGCAGATAATCATGCAGGTATCCATTCAGATGGGCAGAGCTCATCCAACCATGCAAACAAGACCCACTCATCTACACAAGTAGAAGACCTGCTGGTCTCCAGCGCAGATCAAAAGTAGCTCTTTGAAGTCTTAATGAATATGTTATCTTTTCCATTTGGTACAATTCCCATACGTTCCGAACCCAGAAGCTGTAGGAGGGTGGCTCCAATTGCATCCATTTAATTGTAATGCATTTCAGGGCTGCTGTAAAAAGAACATTTAAAAGATATAATTTGGTTCGTCCTTGCAACCCAACTGGGGTAATACCGAGCACTGCAACCGTTACATCCTTTAGTATAACCTCCTGAAAGATCTGCTTTAAAGCCTTGTACACATCATCCCAAAGATTTTGTAGTTTGGGACATGACCAAAAGATGTGTGTGTGACTGGGCACAGCTGAGCCGCAGTCTCTCCAACACAAGCTTGGTACCTTAGGATCTATCTTAGCAACTACATCTGGGGTCCTGAAATATCTACTAATGATTTTCCATTTATATTCCCGCCACATATTTGAGTTTGCAACTTGAAGAAGAGAGGCATTGAGTCTCCGTTGCTTAAAAGATGGGGTCAGGCCAATATCCCACCGGAGAGCAACCGGCGCGTGATCTGAGATTGTGATGGGAAATGTTGTGATATCTTGAATTCTGTGTAGCTCGGTCTTGGCAGTAAAGAAGTAATCTATTCATGAGTAAGATCCATGTCGGTTTGAATAAAATGGAAGATTTCTCTCCTTTGGGAATTTGGATCACCGTACGTCCACTAATCCAGCGTCTACTGATAGATTTTTAAGCATTTTACCCATCTTAGGGATGGGGGTCTGGGAGGCTGGTTGCCTATCTAAAGACGTCATTACACAAATAAAATCACACCCCATAATTAGGAGGCCGGAGCTATACTCTGCAATCATTTTGAAAACTGACTTAATAAACCCAGGTGCATCCTCATTAGGAGCGTACGCATTTATTAAGGAAACTACTGTTCCATCAATTATCCCATTTACCAATATAAATCTGCCCTCCCTGTCTTTATGTATTAACGTTTCAGTAAAGTTAATTTGTCTATGTATTAATATGGCGACACCCCTTTTCCTACCGGACCAATGTGACGAGTACTAAACTTTATCAGCCCAAGACTTGTTTAATTTTGTATGTTCAACATCTGATAGGTGTGTTTCCTGTAAAAGTGCAACTTGGCACTTTGATTGTCTGAGTTACAATAATACTTTCTTTCTTTTGATTGGACTATGCAGACCCTTCACATTATAGCTTGTTACATTTGAAGTACTCATAGCTATTTATTACAAATATATGGTAATGTTAAATCGTGTTGGAGACAGACAGCCAGCTGATGGATGATACCAAACCTTTGGATAAAGTGGATGCTGAAAACTAAAATGACAAAATAAGATTTAAAAAACTGCTTTGCTGAACAGTATTTTCACACACGTGAAGACTAAGATTCAAATGCTCTGTTGCTTTTGTAGATGAAATAAGATCCTTAAAGAACAGAAAGAGCAGAACTCAAAAAAACCAACAAATATTAGCAAAGTGTATAGATGAATAGTACGAAGCAGTGGGTTTAAATCCCTAGCCACTAAAATAAGCAGCAACAAACACAACCCAGAAATTGGATGTGTACAAAAACAGCAAAAAGAAGAAAAATTAAGAGTGTAGGAGTTCAGGCCCTGGCAGGTATACAGAAATGTATGTACTTTAACAACAACAGCATACCAGGTGCCATTACCAGTAATAATAATATAGATAATGTACATGAGGCATATCTAGTCATATCTTTGTAAGCTAATAAGGTCAGTTAGAAGGTAACAATGTTGAGCACATTTGCATGAAACAAGCCTGTTGAGAAAAGTAAGACTGTCAATCGTACACACAGCTAACATTTGAGCATAAAAGAACACTGTGCTTCAATGATGGGATATCTGACAAACACCTGAATCTAAACACCTGTGTGAGCATGCTTATCACTATAAGGTTTCTCCTTAAAAATGTTCAATATTGGATGTGGGGACCCATAAACCTGACCCCATATGACATGAAGGTAACACAGGGAAGACCGGAACCACAGACACACAGCGGCCCCCAAGCCCGGAACTCCGGTAGTCCCC